TACTTGTACAGGTTGATGAGGGGCCTGTCCATTTCTGCCACCTGCCTGCTGAGTGTCCTGCAGGCCATCACCCTCAGCCCCAGAAGCTCCTGCTTGGCAAAGTTCAAGCCTAAGTCCCCACAGGACAGCCTGAAGTCCCTTCCCTTCCTGTGGGTCTTCTATATGTCCTTCAGTGCCCACTTCTCCATCTCTTCTGTTGACAACTCCACTGTGACCTCACAGAGCCTTATATTTCTCAGTGACTCTTGCACTATCTTACCCATGAGCTACTTCCTCAGGCATTTGTTTACCATCCTGGGTTCATTATGGGATGTCTTTCTTATAGGGCTCATGGCCCTCTCTAGTGGGTACATGGTGACCCTCTTGCATAGGCATAAGAGGCAGTGCCAGCACCTTCACAGCACCAGCCTGTCTCCAAAAGCCTCCCCAGAACAGAGGGCCACCAGGGCCATCCTGCTGCTCATGGAAATTTTTGTGCTCGTGTGCTGTTTGGACTGCATTGTCTCCTCCTCAAGAACCATGTGAAACAATGACCCTGTGTGCCGTTCTGTCCAGGTCATGGTGTCCAATGGCTATGCCACCATCAGTCCTTTGGTTATTATCTTCACTGCAAGACACAATGTTACCTTTCTGAAATGTTTGTGGGGGAAGGACAGTCAACATTGAATCATTGCATGATTGGTCAGTTCTCAACCTGAGCCACCACACTGCAGTGCATCAACACATCATTGCATAGTTAGTTTGCTCTCTATGTTGGATCAATGCATAAAGTGGTTTTTAAAAATGATTACATTGAAGCATGAAAGTGAGAAAAACATGACAGATTATTGTCCATATGGCTCAAACAAAGCTAGTAGCTTTATATTTCTGATTGATGTGTGAAAGGAACCCTAGATAGTAAATATCACTTTTTTCTGAATCAGTGCTTATATTTATATGTATGTGAGAGATTGCAGTGGTTTTAAAAAATCAAGAGTCTCAGAAATCTTCTTTATGCTTAATAGAGTGTAATCATCCCTTATCCTAAACTGTCATCTCATTTATCCATTGAACTTTTATGAATATAACAAAAAAAAAACTGGATATAGGGACAACAACTATTATTTAAACACCATTGCTCAGGATACCATATTTATAATAGTCAATGATAGAGACAGTCTCATATGCCCAAGCATATGAATGTATGAAGATATGGTCTAGATATATCATGGAGTTCCACTCAACAGTAAATAGGAGAAAGATTCTGATGCACAGGAAGCCGCAGATGATTCTTGAATTTATTATGTCAAGAGGGTACATGGTGACCCTCTTGCATAGGCATAAGAATCAAAGCTGTATACATCTACACACAGCGGGATGGAATCTTCAGTAGTATAATATGCAAAGATAGAATATTGCATTAAATACTAAACATAGCATTAAATATGAAGGTGATGCTGATATATAAGAAGCCACAGATGAATCCTGAAATCATTCAGTCAAGTGACTGTCACTCACAAAAGAATCAATATTTGTATAAAATACACCTGTAAAAGATGGAAGTTTGGATTGTATAATTCATAAACACAGAATGTAGTAGTTTGGCGTTTTTGTGCAGCTGAGGAAGGTGTGCCCTGAAAAATTTTTTTTAATGAATCCAGAGATATTTTAAAAATAAGAAAAACTGGGGAGATGGTAGAGAGAATCCATGTACCCACACCTGAATTTGATTAAGGCCACTGACAAGTATTCTTAATCATGGTAAATGATAAATATTATCTTTTGTGTACTTAAATAATAATAAAATGTGTCAACTACCTTATAATCAAGGGTGAGGAAAAATTTCTCTAAAATTATAAAGAAAATTGCAAATAGCCCAGGATGGTGGTGCCCACCTAGAATTCCCAACATCTCGGAATCTCAGGCATCACAACATGTGGAGTCAGAAATGGGCTAATTTTAACTTTGGATCAAAGTGACAGAATGTGACATGGTCCATATGATTAGGACATACATTATTTTTCTCAAGCTCCTGTTTGGCAAAGTTCAAGCCTAAATCCC